CCACTGGCTACTAATATTTGCATGGGCAACAAAATTCTGCCTACTATATATGTTAATAGAACATGACATTATAACATTGAAAGGTAGGAAGGTTGTAGAGTAGAAGAACTTAAAATGTTACAATGTTAAACAAATAACATCTACAAAGAGTAAAGGAGTATCATGCCAATTAGATCCCTGCTTTGTAAATCCTCTTACTCCAATACTTTTCAACTTTTATCCTGATTTGAGTAGAGGAGAGTCCTTGAATGTATGGATTAAAACAAGGTATGAGATACCTGAGGTTTGGAAAAGCCTCTAGTGCTATTCCATGCAGAGCATTTGCCTGTCTCTATAGCATCAGCCAAGGTTTCTTGAAGCTTAACCCCAACCACCTCCTAAAACCTGGCGTTGGCAAGGGGTGTAGTTATTTGCCAAAATGATTGGAGAGGGTGAGAAATCTGTATTTCTTTGGGTGAAAATATTCTGTAACTACAAAATTAACCACCAATATTTTTATATAGTTTGGAGAAAGTTTTTCTTGGCTTACAGATTCAGACATCAATAAATAATAACAGTAGGCAACATTAATTGCAATCTTCTTATTGTGCTAAGTAATTTATATACATCATCTCATTAATGTATGTACATTTCCATACACCCTATGAATGGATGCTTTTATTTCTATCTTATAGAGAAAGTGAGGTGCAGAGATCACATAATTAGGTGTTTTAATGTAAACTCAAGCTTACCCTTGCCTATATCCCTATAACCTCTAACTGGAAAGGATGGGGCACATCAACTCCATTATGAGCAATTTTTTTTTTAAGATTGAGGGTTGCTGGAGTGGTAGGGAATGGGAGGGATGGGGTGGCTGGGTGATACACATTGGGGAGGATATGTGCTATAGTGAGTGCTGTGAATTGTGTAAGACTGTTGAATCACAGACCTGTACCTCTGAAAAAAATAATACATTATATGTTAAAAAAAAGAAGAAGAAGAAGATAGCAGGGAGGGAAGAATGAAGGGGGTGGAAATCGGAGAAGGGAACGAACCATGAGAGACTATGGACTCTGAAAAACAAACTGAGGGTTCTAGAGGGGAGGGGGTGGGGGGATGGCTTAACCCCGTGATGGGTATTAAAGAGGGCACGTTCTGCATGCAGCACTGGGTGTTATACCCAATGAATCATGGAACACTACATCAAAAACTAATGATGTAGGGCGCCTGGGTGGCTCAGTCATTAAGTGTCTGCCTTCGGCTCAGGTCATAATCCCAGGGTCTTGGGATCTAGCCCCGCATGGGGCTCTCTGCTCGGTGGGAAGCCTGCTTCTCCCCCTCCCACTCCCCCTGCTTGTGTTCCCTCTCTCACTGTGTCTCTCTCTGTCAGATAAATGAATAAAAATCTTAAAAAAAAAAACCCCAAAACTAATGATGTAGGGAAGCCTGGGTGGCTCAGTTGATTAAGTGGCTGCCTTCGGCTCAAGTCAAGATCTCAGGGTCCTGGGATGGAGTCCCTCATCGGGCTCCCTGCTCAGTGGGGAGCCTGCTTCTCCCTCTCCCTCTGCTTGCGCTCTGTCAAATAAATAAAATCTTAAAAAAAAAAAAAGAATGATGTAATGTATAGTGATTAACATAACAAAATAAAACTTTAAAAAAGATTTTATTTATTTGTCAGAGAGACAGACAGAGAGAGCACAGAAGCAGGAGGAGCAGCAGGCAGAGAGAGAAGCAGACTCCCAGCTGAACAAGGAGCCCCATAGAGGACTCGATCCCAGGGTCCCGGGATCATGACCTGAGGACTAAGCCACCCCGGGCATCCCTGAGCAAATTTTTTTTATGGGAGTTGCCCACAGAACAGAGTCCAGATCTTAGAAACATAATACATTCAATGCTTACGCTTACTCCTAACTTCCGGATCCCCATTTCAAACACCCTTTTGGGGATGAATCTTCTGTAGAACGAAGCTGCTAGAAAGGGAGCGGGTCTTTTCACAGACGAGCCAATGAGATGGATGCATCCTGTGAGTGGCGTATCGCTTGGCCAATGGGGTCAGCCCCTGGGGCTTCGCAAGAGGACCGGAAATTGGACCGGAGCATGTGGGCTTTTCGGCGTTGTCAGTGCGTCGAGTGCGGTGCTCCGCTGACGCTCAGCGGAATCTGGTGACGGCTGGAGCCTCCTGTGCGGACGGAACGGAGGTTTGGGAGGCCAGGGAGGCCCAGGTAACCCCCGTGCAGGCCGGGCGGGCTCTCGCTCAAGCCTGCAGTAGCGAGCGGGGCTCCTTCCGGCCCAGTGCGGACCCTCCGCCCTCCACCCCCACACCCCACCCCCC